ATTGTCGATCAAACTCGATGTAGTTCCTCGTGAAAGAAGCAACATTAAAGGTTTAGTCGTATACATAATCGAAGAACATACAGCATTAATGGAAGACATTCGAAACGTAAATAATCAACTCGAAATATATTTTCCTGCTGTTTTCTGCTGTAATTTATATGCCTTCAGTATCCTGATAACCATTTCTTTGTTTTACGATTTACCCGCAGAGTTTAAACTGGGTGCATTAGTCATTATCATATACGTATTTTTCGAATTTATGATAATTTCATTCGGTTTATCCAGATTTACATCCTCGGTAAGATTTATTTACTATTTCTACCACCAAATTAATATATAATCTATAATGTTCAACATTCGTTTTAGCTTTACGGAAATTTCAACGAGATTAATAAATATTCTTTATGCAGATTTTCCCTGGTTTTTAAATTGAAGGTAAATTAATGTTCTATTCTTACGTTATGGATAAATTTTATTCTGAAATTATGTTCTTTTTCAAACAGATGCTAAATTTTATGAAGAGATTCGGGAAAACACCCATTGGAATTTCTATAGGTGGATTTTTTCGAGTCAAACGCGATTTTCCAATTAAAGTAAGTTCCGATTAAATAATGCGTTTTAATTTATTCTTATGGATTTTATCTTCATCCCTATTTTTCCCTTTTAGATGCTGAGTAGTCTTTATTCTATTCTTTCTGCACTCATCGAATTGGGAAAAAAGAATAAAAGTACGAAATGTACTTCATCACCTTTGCTAAATGCAAGTAATGTTCAGAATACATCATTGTATTGAGAATGTTTCAACGTGAGTACAAAAAGTCAACGAAAATTCGTTGATATGAAGAAACGATCTGCAGCTTTTCGAGATACTGCTGATTTTTCTACAACTACATACGTGAACGAATATAAAACTTTTGTATTAATAATATTGAATAACTAGAAGCACTTCTTATATGTATACACACAAAAAATCAAAGTAAATTTTATGAGTAATGTAGAAAGTAAAGTTCAAAACCATCTAATTTTTTAATTTTTCACACATTAAATTGAGAACATTCTTTAACAAAATATTAAAACAGTGGCCATACAACAGATCTAATATTTTCTGTATACAGAAGGAACAGCTCGGCTGTATGGTTAGTGTTTTAATAATTTGTTAGAGAATGTTTCACATTTTATCGCGTATGTAGGTGTTACACAGATTTAAAAAGAAAAAAAAACGGAAAGAATTTGTGGCTTGTCGTTTGGACATTCGCAAACTTACCTTCGCACATGTTAATAAAGTTCTTAATTTAATTAAAAATTACAATAAACAAAACTTTTAGTACACTATGCTTTTCTTTAAATTTAAATTAATGTTAATTCATTAAACTGCTACTTGTTCGTCTGATGCGAGCCAATTCTGACAAATGATACATTTATTTTTCATTAATTATTTATTTATTTTTCTATTTGATTTTATTTATTTATTTATTTTATGTTGTATTTTATTTTATTATTTATTTATTTTCGTTTTTGCTGGTAGCCTACACTATTGATAAAAATTGGTAACATAGATTTAGGTACATTTTGGGAATTTTATTCAGAAATATTGTATAAAATAAATTTATATTAATAAAATCTTTAAACGTTTGTTTGCGAAGTAATACTGTTTTTAATTGAATATCCTGACTTTTATATCATGAAATTACAAAGCTTTTAAATCTTAATTTATTTCACTTTTTAATAACTGGATATAACTAAAAATGAGACTCACTTAACTGCCGTAACATCCAAATCTTTACTCTATGAAACATTCTGTTATCATTCCGAAACTTTGATAGCAGAAAATAGTTTAAATTGTAATTATGAAACATATTTGAAATCATTTTCGGAAAAAGGCCTCGTTTGATATAACTAATGCTTAAAATGTTTAAGATGTTAAGATCACGTCCGCGAATCTGGCTTTTTGGATTTTGACAATACAGCGATTCCACTCCACTAATACTTGAATATACAGTAGCAATCTTATTATTATTATTTTTTTTTCACGTGTAGTATAGAAATTTGTAATAAGATACATAATGCGGGTATAATAAAATATTGTGCGATTATTTTCATATAATTAAAATTAATATGTATTTTTTAGAAAATACAAGGGAAGCGGCGCATCCACCGCTTCCAATGACAGCACGAGACTGCATATTAACAAGAACACTGAAAGAGAAAGTTATTCTTTATAGTTTTTAACATGTTTATGAGAACAAACGCGTTTATTTGATTCGTTTTATGTTTTCTATTAGTGTGTAAAGCAATGTATAGCATAATCTGTTTTCAAATTTTATTTTTTAACATATAAAATTTTCGCCATTTTAATGCTAATATTCAATGTTGTTGTTATCGAAACCGTGTTGTTGTTTATGTATTGTATTCTGGCACGATGAAGTGACCGTTTAACCAACATTTGGCAAGTTTTCCATCTTCCAATGCTAATAGTCAATATTCAATCTAAAGCAGTGTTTTTCAACCTTCTTGAATACGCGACCCCTTTACAAGTTAAAAAATTCTGGCGACCCCTGAGGGCCATATTAAAACTATATCAGTGATTTTAAAAACTACGTATTTAATTTTCTTTCTTTAATTAAATATCGATCGAAAAACCAATTGTACTGTAAAATAAACAGGCACAGCCTTCTCACTGAAATTCTAGTTTTTTTTATTGTAGTGTAGGACCTACAAACACTTGTCTTTTTCTTTCACTCGCGACCCCCTTTGTAAGGCTTTGCGACCCCCTTGGGGATCGCGAACTACGAGTTGAAAAACACTGTATTAGAGGCATGTGCACTCGGCATCAGAGCTGAAGACCAGCACATAGTGCGACTTTTCTCGTAGATTCTGTGACAATTCAAGTACCTTAAGGACAACGCTGTATAGCTCATTTTGAGGAAAAACGAGTTTTATGTAGAACATCAATGTATAGCACTTCCTTCACACGGAATACCGTATATACTTATAGTAGGAATTTCCATTTTTAGATACTTTTATTATTTTCACACCTGATCATCCCACTTTGACCACACTGTCTAAATGTGTGAAATGTAATTTCATTCTTCTAATAAAATTATGTCTACTGTCTTATAACTGTTAACCTAGTAGCGCTAAATTTTTCCCTGGTGGTGACAACTTATCTAATTATTCTCCTTGAAATTTCTTTATCCGGATACACTTTGCGGATGTAACGAATTTTGCTCGATTCAGTTCTGTAGGATGGTTGCACGAGTGTGTGAGTACCGTCAGTTAAATTCTAAACACCTTGTATAATGAGACAGGTTAAAATATTCTTTTTTTTCAGATGTACGATAATTTCATTAGCATCCATAAGGTTTCTTTTGCAGATCTACCATAGACATTTAAATTCGAATAATTCTGGAAACAATACATTTCAATACGAGTTACCTTTAATGATGTAAAAATTTTCCTATTGTATCTGACGAATAAAAGAGTCGAAGTTAACCACAATAAATGTAATTGGACTCGAGACCGAGTTTATACAAAGAAAAAACTATCAGCGGCATATTCGATAAAAGTTTTAGTATGATAGATTTCATGCATTTTCAGAAAATCTAATATAAACTCCTCAAAAGTGAAATGCAACACTAATTAGGAATGCACGTAGCCGCATGCAAATTGCAGGATTGGTAACTTAAATTAGAGGAATTAGGCAAAGTATATTAAACTTTATTAGAAAGAAATGTGTCCATCATCATCAAGATTAATAACATGGGACGTTGCCGATTCGAACTTCTTTTAAATTATATCGCCGCGATTTTG